GGGTGGTCCCTGGAGGGGGGGCTGGTCGGGGGGTGCAGGGTGCTTCCTGGGACAGGGTGCAAAGGGGGATAGTCGCTGGGGGCATCTGGCCCCCCGGCCGGGTTGGGGGAGGTGCGTGGGGCATTTCCCGAGTGGGAGGGGGCCGGGCGCTTCCCGCTGGCTCTGGGGTCTCTCCCCAGGGAGGCCGCCCTGGAGGTGGCAGCGCGGTACTGCCGCGACGAGATGGAGCAGTACGGGCGCTGTGTCGCCTCCAGCCCCACCACCTGGCAGCAAGACTGTGACCAGCTTAAGCTCAACATATCCCGCTGCGCCTCCTCCCAGTGAGTGCAAGGCCCCTCTCCTGCCCCGCTCAGCCCAGCCCTCTGTGCTCCTAGTGGGGGTCTGCCCTCAACCCAGCCAGTGGCACATGGGGCACGACCTTCTGTCCAGCCAGCTCTCTACACACCCCGTGGCTCCCATCGCCATGGTATCTGAGCAGCTCATGCAGGTGCATCAGTGTGCCCCCACCTTTACGAGCTGAGGGGCTATTCACCCCATTGCATAGCTGGAAGCAGAGCAGCAGGGAGAGGAAATGACCTGCCCATGGCCACACCAGGGCCTGGACTCCGTTCATAGAGTAATATGAATTCTGTAACCACAAGGCCAACCTGCTCCATCTGTTGTGCATCCAATTGCTAAAATTTTACACCTGCTGCTGAGCACATTCCTGACTTCCCTACAGCTACTTTCTCTAGAGATTTAAACATGTTCTTAGAGCTCAGGGTCTGTATGTGCTTGCTTTTTTGCAGCCCCATCGTGCAGAAGATCCGCCACGACTGTGCCGAGCCCTTCACTGCATTTGAACAGTGCTTGAAACAGAACCAGGCCTCCGTCATGAACTGCACAGAACACATTAACCAGTTTCTGATTTGTGCCGATCAGGTGAAGCTGACAACTTAAGGTGAATGAAGTGTCAGCTGGAAACTTGAAAGCCTCTATTCATCTCTAGCAGAGGCAGTCTACCTCTTCTCCAGCCCTAGAGATTGCTTCCTGGAGTCAGATTGGAGACCAGAGGGCCAGCTGTAACCATGGTTCTTGCAATAGTGACACTTGACTGCGAAAAGCCAGAGTGACCAGATAACATGTTTCACCCAAGTCTCCAATTAAGTAGCAGATGGTAATGACAGTCACCATGAGCTTGAGCTGACAGCCATGTGATGAAAACCATGAACACTGTTGCCAATCCCTTGAGCCATCTTGGTTGCTGCCATGAGCCTATGACTTCAATCTCACTTACAATCTGGAGTAATGTACATCAAGCTTTTGCAGTAGAATCTGCTACTTGACTTCTCTCAGCACTTTCTTTCAAAGGATTTGGGCTTTGATGGAGCAGTATAAAAATCATCTTGTTAATTTTGTGGAAACTCCTAGAAAGCTGCAGAATTACTTATCAGCTGTCTGTAAACGCTATAACTTCAGGACTAGAGTTTCACATATTGCAAAACCACTGACTCATTTCCTGCTGTCTTTCCACAGGGAACATGGAACACCTTCACCTTCAGGAATGAGACCAGCTTTCCTAGCTGTGGGGCAGTACCTGGCACAAAACAGAATGTGGTACAAGACTCCATGCTCTGGCTTCCCTCCGTTTCCAGCCACATGCACCTGAACAGTTGGATTCCCAGCTGGAAACATTCTGATGTCAGAATTTGCCAGGGTGCTGTTAGTGCCACTTCTTCTCTCTGCTCTCACACAGCCCTAAACAGCACCATTAATTAATCAATCAGCTACAGAAACTGTAAGAAAGAGACAATAAAGGCTCAACTCTGCACTGAAATTGAGACGGATGGCTGAAATTGACCCTTAACTTGTCCTGTTTACTGCAACGTATTCTTTCCTACTCCCTACAATATTTGGGCACAGTGTTTCTGTACCCCAATGAATAATTCATAAAAACTAAAGAGCTGGCTCTAGCTTCCTCCTGATGATATGGGGAACTGCTGTGAGAGTCTGGCTGACAGCACTGAAATCCACGTGATAAATAAAGAGGGAGCATCAATCTGTTTAGGTCCCAAAACTGAACAGCCCCAAAACTATTCATCATTCCCATTGCTGACATGTTACTGAAAGGCTGTAGATACGCCTGACTTATGCTCTGCTTTGGAGCCAGCAGAGGGAGTCTTGTCAACAGCCCGAGCTGTAGGGATACCTGATAACTAGCACTGCCCATGTTTGAAATGCTTTACAGAACTTGACCATAATAGAAACAAGATGACAAACACATGCCTACATGGTGGGAAAACACTGATGTA